GGGAGCGGCAGCGGCAGCATGCGTGTTGCTTCCTCGCCAGGCTGGGTAGGTTGGAAGAAAGGGAAGCCCGTCGTCGGGAAAGGGAGCGCGGGGGAGGGGATTCCAAGCCGGCGGCCTGAGGGAAAGAAGCCGGTGGGCGTCCCGAGGAGGAGGAGGAGGAGGTGGCCCGGCTCTTACCTTCTCTGCAGCAGAGGAAGATGTGAGGGGTAGGCGAGTGTGTGTGTGTGTGAGAGAAAGTGATAGTGTGGGAGTGAGGGTGTCACGCAGCCAGCGGTAGGGCATCGTGGGTCTTGGGTTGGTTGGGTGTGGAGTAAGGTTTCCTGCAAGCTGAAGCCAGTGGCAGGGTAAGGGCAGCATCCGAGGGACCGCCATCCATCTCTCGGTGCATTTGGCTGAAAATCTGAAGTTTGAAGGGGTCGCCGATTTATGCTGAAGGGAATGCATTAATGGGCAGGCTGTTGAGTTATTTCCAGACCAATGGCGGGATAAACAATATGGAAATACGCGAATGACAAGATGCGGAAGTACAGGAATGAATGACCAGCGGCTGAGCGAACTGATTCTCTTCTACTTGAGTCGTATTTACATGTTTAACGGCAGGAAACAATATTGTGAACGGTATGGTACCACCTGGTGTACCACCTGGTGTACTAAAGAGTGCGCCCATACCCTAGCGTTTTGGTATTGTTATATCCATAGCATGTGACCTATTTCTCAATCACTCTTCACTATCAAGAAATGCCAAGTAGTAGTGTCCCCATGTAGCAGATCCAGACTGGCAGCTTTTTGTGTGATCAGGTGGTAGAGCCTGCCTGCCACCCTGTGATCTAGTACTGTACAGTTCAGCGTTCCTCCCTCTGTCTGCCTTGCAAAAAGCTTTCCAAAACTCTGGTTAAATGAGCAGAGTTGGTATATTAAAGAGATGCAAAGCTTTCCATAACTAGAAAGAATGCGGGCACCCATTTAAAGCAGGCACCTTGCTAATTTCTCCTACCACAAGAGCTTCTCTAGCTGTGGTTTGTGGCACATGAGCTCCATCCTAGTGCTTTGTGAAAAGGTTGCACTGCAATCAAATATCTGGTTTGGGCCCTGTGCATGATTTTTTCCCCTCAGTGATGAGGATCAATGCCAGTACAGTATTTTCATGAGGACTGGATTACTGAGCAGGCAAAAAATGACATTGTCAAGATATCCCCTTTTCATTATACAGTATGACACTGTAGCAATCTACTATATTCATTCCTTTAAAATTACTAAGTAAAGAGCGAGTTCCAGGGTTGTCTAGGGCCATATTGATAATTCAGCTTTTGTGATGAAAGCACTACACAACTTGTGCATGTGCCTTGACTGATGGAAATAAAGAGCAGTTGTTTGAAATTCCCAAAAATTGTTTAAAAAATATTGTGTGTAAAAATTACAGGGCAGTTACAGGGTATGAAACAATAATAATAATATGCTCTATTATTATTGCATTAGATTTTTGTTTGAAATAATGTGTGGGGGAAAGTGTGAGAATTGTTGTAGTAGCAGAACTTAAAATAATGATCTTGAAATAAACTGTGGATAGTGTGGTGTAGTGGAGGAGAGTGCTGGAATTGTACAAGAAATATTATTAGCCAAGAAGTTTTCCATTGCTTTCTTTCAGCCTAATAACCTATCTCTCAAGGTAGTTGTGAGGATGAAGTCTGGAATTATGTAGATTACTCTGAGATCCCTAGATAAGGTGGATGTGAAATCATAAAGACATTGGCCTTTTTAGTTATCACTGAATGTTAGGGTGTATATGTCCAAGAAATTTTAATGCTGCATTTACTGGAAGAATAGTGAGGGGAAAAAATTTCAATAGGTGAGATCTCCAGCTTGCCCTGGGCACTCTGAGTGTGTGGTATTGTACTTCCTTGTGGAGTGTTGCATTACAAACAGGTGTTTGTCTGAGTGAAGCCTCCACATGCTAAGCCTGTGGAGTTGCTGTCCTGTTTTGGAAGGTCTGAATAAATATGTCCAATGCCAAGTTTTATCTTAATATTCTTCCACTTGCTGTGTGTGTGTGTGTGTTCTGAAGGGTAGTTCTCTTTATCATTATTCTTATAGCTAGATATGTGCCAAGTAATTGCAAATTACCCTAATAAATGCTGTGATACAGCTTATTTTTCTAGTTGCTGGTATTTGATATTACTGGAAGAATTCAGTAATCAGAATATATTTGCAATTGTAAGTGGTAAGCTTTTCATAAGACTATGTTATCCAGTTTTATAATACTAGTAAAGGTTTTCAGATTTTGATTTCTAAACTGATGGTTACCAGTAACCTAAATCTTAGACAAGCTCAGAAGTTTGGTGCTGTTTTTAAACCAATCTTTCTGTGTGGACAGAGCTGCCTGAAGACGTTTGCCTGTCTGAGGCAAAGCAGCAATGGTACGTGCCTGGCTCCTCCCCTGATCCCAAAGTCAAGGGTATATTTGAGCAAATAGTACCTTCAGCCAGCCAAATTATTCTGGCCCTTGAAGCAGCAAAGCTCACCAATGATGCTTTTGCTTTCTGGCTGTAAGAATGCAGTCGTAATTAAACAACTAACCATTTGCTGCTGTTTTGGGATGCCTAAAATCTGCTGCCTGAGGAAATTCTGTGCTTAATTATTGGGATGATTGTGACTGTGGAACATGTTTTAGCAAACTTGAATTGTTTTCCTTTGGGTTACTTAATAGGGTTGGGCAGAAATTAGCCTTGGATCTACATTATAATTTCTGGATGATCTGGAATTGAGTAGTGAATGATGGGCTTTTGTAATTAAAAGCAACAACTGAAATAATTATCCAAAAAAAAGGGGGGGGGAGGAAAGGAAAGAAAACCAGAAATAGATATTAGCTTAAAAGTATAGAAGCTCTTCTGTACCGGGAGGCAGTGGAAGACAGGCGGGCCTGGCGTGCTCTGGTCCATGGGGTCACGAAGAGTCGGACATGACTAAACAACAACAACAGAAGCTCAGCTGTGGAACTGAAAACAAATTTCTGTGCTGAGTATTTGCAAACACACACAGTTCTTTCATTTTAATTTTAAGCATGTATGTGCCTCCTGAGCCACTGTTTTGCACCTGCTTTTGATAGGTGAATATCGAGATTCATGGGATGAAAACCAGAGTAGGTCCCTCTACTCACCATTGTTCTTCAGTATCCAGGAAAAGGTAGAAACTATAGTATACACTGTTAGAATTATAATAGATGTTTTAAAGCTAAATAAAAGAAATAAAGAACTAATTTTTAAGTATAAAAATGAGGGTTCCCAAAAAGTTTTCGTTTGTTTCATTTTATTATATTTGGGCATACCACTTCATTTGAACTTTTTGGAAAAAACCCACATTCCAGTTATAACCTTTTAAGTAATAAAAAGTCTTATTTTTTCTGTTGGGCATGTCATAAAATGTGTTACATGCAATTTTAGTGCTGTTCTGTGCATGATTCTTCCTTGTGGTCAGTTTGTGTTTTGTAGACAGCAGCATCTGGTTACAAATGGAGTATGCTAAGTGGCAGTTTTGGACCAGCCAGAACTGAGTCTTGATGAATACAGAAGCCACTTGTCCTTTTGAATGTTTCTTGTATAGATGTTTGACAGGAATGCAGCTTGACACAATATAACAGAAAGAAACACATAGATGTTCTCAAATCCTGGCAAGCCCCACTGAGTCCAGCAAAGCCTCACCCTTTGAGGCTTGGGGCTACATGGATCACTGTTCCTTCCTTCCTATAGCAGAGGGACTGTTGTGACATGTGTACCCCACATAAGTTGGGTACCCTAGCCTCTGTATTGAAACCTGCAAGGAGAAATGTCTGAGACATCCACTGCAGATAAGTGGGGGAAGCTATTACATGCTGATGTTCACCTTTTCTGAGCAGATCAGCATGTTGTTACATTGATCAGATAAGCTACTCATAGAACCATAGGTATGTGTGCACAATGGAACGTGGAGCCTCTTTCTTTCCTTATGGCTCCCATTTAGCTGGCAACGTGACATCTGTGAAATAGCATATACCATGGTGCCTCGCTTGACGACGTTAATCCGTTCCAGCGAAATCGCTGTAGAAATCGTCATCAAGCGGGGGGGAAAACCATTGAAACACATTGAAAACCGCTCAATGCATTCCAATGGGCTAAATACCTAATCGTCTGGCGAAGATCCTCCATAGGGTGGCCATTTTCCGGTGCCTGTCTTGCGAAAAATCCATCCTAAAAACAGCCATTTTGCACAGCGAGCGGCCATTTTGAGAGCCGCTAATCAGTTGTTTCAAAACCATTGTTAAGCAAAAAATCAGTTCCCGAAGCAGGGAACCGATCATCATAAAGCAATTTTTCCCCATTAAAACATTGTTTTGCGATTACAAAAGCAGTAGCAAAAACCTCGTCAAGCAGATTTGTCGTTTAATGAGGTAATCGTTAAGCGAGGCACCACTGTAAATGGGATTTAGACAAGAAATTTTCAGTCCAATATAAAGATTTCGTCTGCTTAAGAGAGAGTAAATAACTGTATTCTTATATAGCACTACTGTGTTCATCTATTTGTTGCCTAACAGAAAAGAAAGCATGGTTGAAGGCCTGGACACGTTTACCTGAAAGGGAGTCCCCTTGAACTCAGCAGGAGTTACTTCTGAATAGACATGCCTAGGACTACAGTGTTAGCTTTCTGATAAGTCTGTGTTTGCCTTCTTTTACAGTGTATTTTACAGTGTATGTTTTATTATCCTAAGCTAAACTGCTCTTGTCTTACATTAGCTGTGTTCTTTGATTCTATGGCTGTAGGAAGGTGTGTGGTGTATAAAAAGGGGCGAGGGGAGAAGTATAATCTTAACATGTTCTGTCCCACTGTGACTTGAGCACACATGAATTCTCCTTCAGTAGCATTTTGGAACACTTTACTGTCTGCTCTGAATTGTAATATGGTATTGCATTGTCTGCTTAGTCTGCTGAATTGATAGTTCCAAAATATTGCTTAGTTAACTGTTTCAGGTTGATCCAATGTCAAATGACTTTCCAGGTCCTGGCATGGGTTATATG